AGAAGACCGAAATTCTGCGTCCGGTGAGTTTAGATTTAGATCTATATACTCACCTTAGTTTTAGATATTCGCCTTAGCCTATCTTAGCCTCCGGCTAATCTCATGGAGAGGGTGATGGATAGAGAGAGAGGGAGGGTTAAGTTTAGATCATGAGGATATCCGATGATATCCGATGCCCATACCCTCAGATCTAAACTCATGAGGATCTATGCCCTCTATGCCCAATGAGGATGCCCATCTATGCCCTCAGTCCGATGCTGATCTCCATCATGAGGTTCTCAGATCTGCTCCCGCAGGCCAAGGGCCTCACCCAGTTCGAGCGCCCCGCCTGACCGTGCGGCACGCTGCCGAAAAGAGCGCCACGCGGCACGCGGCACGTGGCACGCGGATGCGGACCCGGAAGCGCGGAGCGGTACCAGGTGGAGGGGAAGAACTGGCAGAATCTGCATCGTCATTTCATCGTCATTTTGTGTGATTTTTGGTCGTCTCTAGGGATAGCATGGGATAGGGAGAAGTGTCGGAAATGGAGCAGGGCGTTTGTTGAGCCCATGCTTTTCAGAATTCAATGTTCACGACACGATTCCCATGCGATGTCCTGCCACTGCACGCATGGGAGACCACCTTGACTGGCTTAGACCATCACAATCTGTCAATTACTTTTGTCGTTAGCGCGCATCCCTGGCAGAACCAGTCCGATCTCGCTCTAGGCATTCCAGTGTGGGCCGTTGCAAATCTCACGCTGGCTTCAGGATGGATACGAAAGAGGACGCATTGCATATCATTGCATGAACAACAAGCTGGTCAGCCACACCTAGCTCAGTGGGAAGCAGGTACCCCTTCCCTTTGACAATGAGCGAACTTGTGAATGATCCCATGATACAGCAGCATAGTGAAACCAAGAGAGCCATTTTGCAGCAAGCCATGCTTGATAAGAGGGGGCGGCCACCTGGAATCTGGGCCAACAATGTCTTCGTCCTTCTAATCAGAAAGTCAAACTCAGGATGCAATTTCACGTTGAGACAGTGTCATGTTTCAAGCTCGATTTGGGAGTTACCAAGCCTCTTATTAAAAAGAAGAACAAGCTATCCTGTCGGATCGACCGATCGTTTTAGGATCAGACCTGCCGGCCGCCCGTTTCACTCATGGGACTTCACTCGACCTGACGGGAGCCCAGTATAGCCCAGTTCTCAGTGCGTTCGTCCAGCTTGGATCCACATTTCAGTGGTCGGTTCCGTGCTTTGAGACGTCGGTTCCGTCGCGCAAACGACCGGTCGTGGAGATGTGAAAGTCCATCCATCCGACTGAACTGGTTCCAGCCGGCCTGAAGAGATGGAACGCACACCCTCAGGTACACCCAGGACCCACCCTTTCGCCTCCTCTTGGAGGGGTGGAGCGGAGAGAGATTTGGGCGAAACTGCGGGTTCTTTCCAGCGGTTACCAATGATTTCCTTGTCCAAGATCCACTGCTTCCAAGATCTGGAAACCAATGGCCTGGCATTCACTATCAAGAAGAGACCAAAAGGCGTCAGAAGCAGCTCCAAAAGGGATGACACTCCTTCACCCCGGAGGCTCCGCCTCCTCCTCAGGGGGCGTCCGAAATCCAATGGTGGCCGAACTGGAGGGCGCTGTGGACCTCGTGGACTTGACGCACCGCGTCAAGGAGGCCGAGGGGACCCGTCGGTTCCTGGCGCCGGTTACGGGTCGGTTGCTACTAGCGATGGCCTGGCGTTCCTACAGGAGCTTCTAGTTACTAGTAATGGCCTCCAAGCTGATAGCGAGGGCCTGGCGTTCCTAGGAGCTTCTTGCTACTAGTAGCTTGTCACTAACTAGTATAACTAGTAGTAATGCCAGGGCCAGGAGCTACTACAGTAGATGGACCAAATATTCAAACCCATGTATCAATAACTGTCGC